ATCCTTTGTGACACCTCAGCCGTCAGACGCAGAGCTCCGTCTCTGAGCTCTTCCCGGCTGCTTGTTTAAAGAGTGTGTTCTAGGTTAGTCTGCCTGCACCTGGCACAGCGATGCCACAGCTGGAGCTCAGGCCAGAGGGAAATGCTTTACTTAGGCTTCCTCCCCAAGCAAGAGCAGGTAGGACACATGTGCTGGATTATACACTATTATTACGGTCTTCTAGGTCGTAGCAGAGGTCCATTGTCACGAATGAAACACCACTCTATGTCTATATGCGTTGCCTCTTTTGAAGCAGTTACATCTCTTCTTAAGAGGATTTTCCCTGCATCAATGAACTGGTCAGCTATGATTTGGTTAGTCATGGTCAGACGATCATAGAAATATTACCATTACAGCTTTGAATCAGCATCACAGCTCTGGGGTGCTTCACAACCATTTGTTGCATTACCAAGACACATTACACCGTTTGCTGGGATTCAGTTACAGAGATCAGTATCAAGTTCTTTCATTAGAGGCTCTGTACAAAAGGTGCCCACGCTGACTGGATCCAGATCAGTTTAAGTAAGCTGGACAGGACATAAGGAAATAACCATGCTTGCAAGCTGATGAATTCTCTTATGACAAATCCACTAAGGCATTGACCAACTTCCCCACTAAATACAGTACTAATCTGCTCCCTTACCACTGTAGCAGGACTAGAGTAAGCCCTCTTGTCTCTGTTACCATCCCCATAGTCTTATTCCACTGGTCATGTTTGGGGCTGGAATGCAGATCTGTGCCTCTGTTCAGAAAGTCATAGGTTCAAACCACAAGGCCCACAGTGTAATCATATTGCCAGAGGGGCCCAGAGCAGGGTCCTTAATTCCAGGAGCTCCCTGGCCCACTTTCCTCAGTTGTCATTTTCGGAAGCAGAAATTTCAGGTCCAGAAAGTAAAAATTCAGACCAAGATTTTGTTTCAACCAACCATTTGATAATGCTGTGACTGTGACTCTTTATAGTTAACTGGCTGGTTGAAACAACACCTTGGTCCGGATTTTTATTTTCTGGACCTGAAATTTCCACCTCTGGTTGCTTTGGACAATAGCATCCTCTAAGTATATGTAGCTCTACTTAAATCATCATCCCAGAAAATTGGGGACACACTCTATACCAACCGTTTCTCAGCGACCAGCCTCACATGGGCTTCTGATCTATGGTAGGTAAATGTAATTTTGGCAAAATTTACAAATGCTACCAATACCCCCACCCCCCAATGGGCCATGGATGCTTTGTAAATGGTTAGCATTGTGGTTATGGAAAGACTGGGGATCCATGCTTCAGACCTTTTTCTAGCACGCTATCCTCATTTTTTCTTGCTTTATTTCAATATGCAGAACATTGTGATACCTGAGCTTACAAGTCTGAGTAGTAATATACCTTTTGCAGTCCTTACTCATGAAATCCCCGATTAAGCGGCTAAATCATATTAGACAACTGAACCTTCTCCTTGCCCAACTCTCCATTTAACTGCAGGCACAGCCCTATGTTGTAATCTCCTGTTCGGGAAATGCAAGACTCTTGAAAGCCACGCTGAATGTCAGTCTCTTCAGTTGTGCATTAATCTCATTAGTCACATATTCAACTTCAAAGTTATATGTTTAGTTAGTTGTTCACCTGCTGGCAGATCTGGATTTGAGCTGTAATATACTCCAGTTAGATTTACTGCCAAATATGCACAACATACTGCCCTCAGCATTGAGTTTCATCCAGAGTAGCATTTTTGTTTGCTGCCAGTCCTGTTGGTTACACTTTCTCTCAATCTGACAGGAGCACTTTCACGGATTCAAGCAGCACATTAGACAGTGACATGCAACACACCTACAGTAATGGTTATTTTTAGGTCTCACCTTTTTGTATCAAAAGTTTTAATCTTATATTCTAATTAGCATTTTACATTCTATTTTGTCTGGCTCTACATGAGCATATTAATTTCAAGATCCTTTGTCAGAGGCACATCCGAATAGGAAAATTGTTTCATTTTTAATTGCCATTGTTATAGTAAATGCTTGTTTTATTGCCTTATTCTCTGGGTTTACTTGAATCCTTATTGAGCCATCCTCCATGAAACTTACAGTGACAAGAAAAAGTTTTTGAACCTTTTGGAATTTCATGGTTTTCTGCATTAATTTGTCATAAAATGTGATCTGATCTTCATGTAAGTCAAGGGTATTGACACATATAATATGGGTATAATAATAACATTTAAAAATCTGATCTTTCATGTCTCTATTGAGAACAATCATAAAAAAAACTCATATTGAAAGTGGAAAAAGTAAGTGAACCCTTGAGTTAATGACCTCAAACAAGCTAATTGGAGTCAGGTGTGAGCATATCTGGAGTCTTGTTAAGAAAATGAGTTTGGAGGTGTGGACTAGAGCGACTTTGACTGATAAAAAGCACTCAAACTGTTTGAGTTTGCTCCGCACAAGAAGAAAATGCTTATGTGAGCCGTGCCTTGCTAAAAAGAGCTTTCAGAGGATCTACGATCAAGAATTGTTGATTTACATAAAGCTGGAAAGGGTTCCAAAGTGATTTCAAAGTATTTAGAAATTCACCAGTCTACAGTTAGGCAAACAATCTACAAATGGAGACACTTTGGGACTGTGGCTACTCTATCAAGAAGTGGGCGGCCAGTCAAGATGACCCCAAGAGCACAACAAAGACTCATCAATGAGGTAAAAAAATAACCCTGAGTGACAGCCAAAGATTTGAAGGTGTCATTGGAACTGGCTAACATCTGTGTTCATGAGTCTACAGTATGTAAAATATTTAACAAGAAGGGTGTGTGTGGCAGGACACCAAGGAAGTCGCTGCTTACTAACAAGAACATTGCTGCACGCCTGAAGTTTGCGAAAGAGCACATTGACACTCCACAGCAGTATTGGCAAAATGTTTTGTGGACTGATGAAACTAAGATTGAACTGTTTGGAAAGAACACGCAGCACTATATCTGACATAAAATGGGCACTGCAGATCATCATGAAAACATCATCCCTACCGTAAAGTATGGTGGAGGAAACATCATGATTTGGGCCTTCTTTGCAGCATCAGGGCCTGGACAGCCTGCCATTATTGAGGGGAATTCCAAAGTGTATCAAGAAATTCTTCAGGATAATTTGAGAATGTCTGTATGTCAGCTGAAGTCTGTAGAAGTTGAGTGATACAACAGGATAATGACCCAAAACACCGGAGCAAGTCCATGGCTTCGGAAAAACAAAATCCGCCTTTTGGAGTCCAGACTTCAACCCAATAGAGATGCTATGGAATGACTTGAAGAGAGTCATACACATGAGATGTCCGAAGGATATGACAGAACTAAAGCAGTTCTGCCGGGAAGAATGGGCCAAACTTCCTCCTGAATGATGTGCAGGTCTGATCCACAGCTTCAGGAAGCGCCTGGTTGAGGTTATTGCTGCCAGGGGAGTCAACCAGTCATTAATTCCAAGGGTCCACTTACTTTTTCTATTAGCACTATGAGTTTTTATGGTTGTTCTTAATAAAGACATGAAAGATCAGATCTTTTTGTGTTATTATACCCACATTATATTTATCAATACCTTTGACTTAGATAAACATCAAATCACATTTTATGACAAATTAATGGAGAAAACCATGAAATTACAAAAGGTTCACATACTTTTTCTTGCCACTGTATTGCAGTGATCCTGGAGGAAGTAAGCAGGGACATGGATGATAATGGATTTAACTGTATGAGGACATGCACAGTAAAAACTTTAGATTGTATTAAATAATTACATTTATTTTGCTGTGTTCAGGCAGGCAAACAAGGGTTCTTTGGAAAATTAGGTAAATTACTGTAATTGCACTTGATAATAGAGTGAAATTAACAATACGTTTCCATATCAAAAACAAAAGACAAATTTAGCTTTTTGCACTAATGCAAGTACAACAGTGCCGTGATTTCACCTGAAGGTTTGGTTACCTATACTTATGGCTTTTCATTGATAAATTGGTTAGATGACATATGGAAAATCAACCTTTAAATCACTTAAAAAAAAAAAAAAGTCAGAGCAAGCGAATATACAAATTCACGTGTGACACAGAGATTATGTTTAAAGTAAACAGCTCATAAAAAATGACTTGTTTTCTGTGCTCAATTCTGGACAAATGTTTTGGAAAAAGCTGGAGGCACAAGTTCATGTGATTTCATCCTTTTTCTACAGAGGAGGTCACATAAATGCCTATCACATCAGTGTATGTGAGATATGTAACTGGTTAGACCAGACAGAAGTTTGGTTTAGGTCACATACCTGTCATTTTATTATGATTTTTCAAGTACAGGACCTTTTGGTCTGAAACTTTGGTGGCGGTTTCATAAAGTTTAACTTTGGAGTGTACTTTGGGTTAAGGACCTTGCTTGGGGGACCAGCAGGGATGTGACTGTTCTGCCAAAGCAAGGGATCAATCGGTGGCTGTACCCTGGCTATGAGGTCCCACTGAGATGAGTACTATTCCAGTGTATGAATGACATTTCTACACTCTCAGTCATTTCTACACTGGGGCTGTACCCACATGGGTCTGCCAATTGTACCTTTAGCTGTATTGTACCTTTTACTGTACATTTCTGCACCATTGATGGTACATTACTGCTGTTTGTACCTTTGGAATGTTCCTCAGCATCCATGTCTGCACAGCCCCAATGACAAGCAAAAGTATCATTTTTACCCTTATTTCAGAGATTATAATTAAATGTAGCATGCTGGATACTGTAATAGTTATTATAATCATATAATACACTACGCGTTACCCAGTGTTTTCAGATGCCGTAGAGGATTATGGGAAAATAAGCAAGGCCCACCTCCATCCTGCGTAAGACAGGACTTCATTGAAAATAAGTTTCCCATTTCCGGGCAGATTGTCATATATGCCGATCGCGTTTTGGACAGCGTTCAGTTTTGTTAATCCATATTAAGTGAAATTAGTAACACTGGAGGTAAGCATGAGTGAAATCAAACCAGCAGAGGTGAAAGATGCAAGCGGAGAGGAGCGCGACTGGGCAGCCGCTAAGGTTTTTTTCGATAACTTGAAATCTAAGAGACCCAGACCGGTAAGTTACGTATTTTCAGGCTATCAAAAGTAGAAACGAAATCTTCCAGCGATGCTAACACTGAATCGGTTATTGTATCTTTGGTTATTAGTCTCTGCTTTTTGAAACTGTCACATTTTGAACCTTTTTTGAACATCCATTACGACACGCTCTTTCTAGCCGAAATCTTGTTATGCGGTCACTATCGCCGTGTCGTCGCGGACGTTGTTTGACATGACCATGGAGAGGAAGATCTATGAGGACCAGGGACTGGAAAAGTACGTGGAGTATCAACAGCAACATGAAGACGAACCCTTAAAGCCAGGAGCAGCCTTTCCATTCGTTAAGGTATTGTTTAAATGAGCGTCCAGTTTTGCGTGGGTCTTCAATGACATCTTTTGTATTCATTGCAGATCTAGTTTTATCCAATAATGATCAAAGGGCTGACGTATTTCTGTAAGCATGTAGTTCAGTGAACTGTGCAGCATTCGCCCTGTATGATGTCACCTTAGGCTCTGATGACAGTGAACGTCAAACTGCGTCAGCTGTACCCCGACAGTGAGGAGCTGTTCGACATTGTCCTCATGACTAATAACCATGCCCAGGTCGGGGTCCGCCTCATCAACAGCATCAACCATTATGGTGGGTGTGGTGCAGCTTCCCTCCAGGTTCATTATCTTCATTTACTTTGGTGGATATAAAAATATAAGATTCAGATGTTTTTATTGTCCTTAGTGACTCCCCAAACCACTGCAGTCAGAAATATAACGTAACAATACATAAAAGAGGTCAACAATATACAAAATCTAAACAAGATAAAGGTAGTAAAACTAATAAGTAAATTATAGAGACAGGCCTAGTGAGCAATAGCATAACATACAATACAAGAGTGCAGTTTAATGCCCTTTCACAAACCCAAAAACACACTCTGAATTCTACATAGAATATTTTTACTTGCTGTAGCAAAAAAAAACACTACTAAGTCAAATAAGAGTTTTTAAAATGAGCAGTGCTTTTATATTTCAAACGTATATAACGTCTATCAGTTTTTACTCAACTGAAATTTTATGCCAATTGTACTCTTTAAAATGTAACCACATATAAGTAATAGTTCTTATTACATAGTCCTTATATTGACAACTATAATGATGTTTTTGTATGTGTTGTTTTTAGATTTAACTATTGAAAGATTCTGCATGACTGGTGGGAAAAGCCCAACTGGATATCTGAAGGCATATATGACTAACCTTTACCTGTCCAAAGACTCTGAAAAGGTCCAGGAAGCTATAGAAGAGGGTAAGTTGAATTTTCAGTTACGTCAAAAGGCTCTTCAGACGAAGCCGTTTAAGCTGACTTAGTGCTTATTATTACTATTAGCTTATGGGGTATATTAGACATAAAAGGTATTTATAGCTATTAGAATAGAATTGATCTGCGGTTACTCACTTTCACTGGAAGAAAGTCTTATGCAGGTCTGTCTTGGTAATACTGTTATTTATTGCATTTAAAAATAAGACATACTACATGTTCTCACTAACATAATCTGCATAACAATGGCCCACTGACCTAAAGCACCTAACAATGTATTTTGCAGGTATCGCAGCCGCTACCATGTTCACCCCTGACATGGAGATTCAGCTCAGTGACACTCAGTTGCGTGTGGCCTTTGATGGTGATGCCGTCCTCTTCTCTGACGAGTCGGAGATCATTGTGAAGCAGCATGGTCTGGATACCTTCTTTGAACATGAGAAAGCAAATGAAAACAAGCCCCTGGCACAGGTGAATGACATAAATAGGGGGGTAATTCTTTTGCATACAGCATATAAAGTGCACAGATGCACAAATATAATACAAAACAAAGACAAAGTACAAGGTAGTACATATCTAGTGCAAACAAGTAAACATGGTGCAAGCAAATTTTAAAAGTGTGTACAAACAGAATATCCTAAAGACAGAATATCGTTCAGGAAATATACACAAAAAAGAAATTAGAAAAAAACAATTGGGATTCAGCAGCTAACGCTGCTTGGACCCCTAAATACATGTAACAATATTTATTGAAATACTGTATTGATTTAACAGGGATATAAAGTAATGCTTTGTTTGCAAGTACACTAGAATGCTTCTTTTCACCTATTCCATCTTGATCTCCTGTGAGACACACACACACACATCTAGATATACAGTTCAGAGCAAAGTTTGGGGTCCAGCCACAGTGTCAGAGAGAGTCTGTGGGGGGGGGGGGTTAAGGACCTTGCTTGGGGGACCAGCAGGGATGTGACTGTTTTGCCAAAGCAAGGGATCAATCGGTGGCTGTACCCTGGCTATGAGGTCCCACTGAGATGAGTTTTATTTAGTGAACTTTAGTGTTCATTTTGTGGCTGAGACTAAAAATGGCCAAATTTGTTTCTTTACTGTACATTGGTATAAAGCAGTAACAAAGCTCCTTGGTTCTCCTACTGATTGATCTGTGTCCACCTGGTACCTGCAGGGTCCCCTGAAATGCTTCCTGGAAGCCCTGGGCAAACTTCAGCGCAAGTTTTATGCTAAGAACGAGCGGCTTCACTGCCCGATCCGGACCTACCTGGTGACGGCCCGCAGCGCAGCCAGCTCGGGGGCCCGAGTACTGAAGACCCTGAGGAGCTGGGGCCTGGAGATCGACGAGGCCATCTTTTTGGCTGGGGCCCCAAAGGGCCCCCTCCTTCAGAAGATACGGCCGCACATATTTTTCGACGACCAGATGTTCCACATCGAGGGAGCCAAGGAGCTCGGGACAATTGCAGCACATGTGCCTTATGGAATAGGACAGAAGTACCACAAAGGGCAGCTCATTGAGAAGACCGGCAAAACAAAATGATGCTGCTGGGCATATGCTGTTACTAGGCGGGATGCTGGAATTTTTGTTTCCATTTTATAATCAGGGTTAAGGTTTTATTATACTTTATCCACTCCTTTACATTTAAACTATAATTTTATACCTGTTGGGCACTTAAAATATATATATATGAGATTACTATTCTGAAAATGGTATTTTTCCAAAAAGATGAAAATGCAAACTGCTCTGTACAAACTCTGTATAATTTCTGTTGTATTTTCATTGCAATAAAAAGAAAGCATTTTGTTTTTATTGCAATGAAAATTTGGCATCAATTTACCCATACAAAAGTATGCACCTTCTACAGATTTCATCTGTTCTCTTGCACGTGTAGAGGAGTCTTTTGAATTGTATAGGAAAGGTCAATTTACAGTTCAAATTTTGTTTCTTTCACAATGAACAGCCAGTTTAAGGTTTTTCTAAGGGTCGTTTTTGTATGTCTGAGAGTACCGTCAGTGTCAGATGAGTTTATATAAATCGCTAAAAAGCTTGTTATATAATTATACAGTATAATATCACCTCCTGTTTACATTTAGTTTCTTTTAGAAAGTATTACACATTATGTGGCTGTACTCTTATTTCGTTTTTCTACTTGAAATGCTGTGCACTGTCAGAGAGAACTTTACACGTTGGAATTAGCTAAAATCATTTTTACATATTTACTTACATTTTGCGTCTGTATAATTTGTTTCTTAGGATTTGAGCTAGCCTTTTCATTAGGCTAAATTTAATGGCTCATTCTGAAATATACTTCTTGCTGCAAACACGGAGACGTGAAACACATAGAGAATGTAAAGATACTTTATTATTTTAGTTCTGCGTTTTAAGATTTCATATTTCTGACTTGTGCCTTTATTTCACTGTATACTGTACGTAAAATACCGTGCTGGGCGGGCTGGAACTTTTTCACGCACAAGGTTCACAATAAAAATTAGGTTTTAAAAATGTCAACTGATTATTCATTAATTTATTTATAATGTCAACTGATTAATATGCAGACTTTTTGAAAATGCAGCGATGACTTCCGTGTGCTCTGTGATATCTGAATCGTGATTGGACGGCTCTGTCGCAGAGGATTCTGGGTATTGGAGGATTTTGGCATGTTCTTAGCTTTCGCTAATGAATGACCGCAGGCCCTATGTCAGCCACCGTTATTCTCGCCGCCGTAGTTGGCGGTGGGATCATTTTCATAGCCCGTCGATTGTTTTTCAGACGGTCGTCTGCAAAGTTACTGCGATTTCCAGCTGATACGATGAAGGGAAAAACCATCATAGTGACGGGAGCGAACAGCGGCATCGGGAAGGCCACTGCAGCGCAGTTGCTGAAGCTCCAGGCCCGTGTCATCATGGCCTGTCGGGATGAGCGGAGGGCCGAGGAGGCCGCCCGTGAGATACAACAGGAGGCAGGTCCAGATCGGGGACAGGTGGTCATTAAACGTCTGGACCTGGCTTCCCTTACGTCCGTGCGATCCTTCTGTGAAGAGATCATCAAGGTACATTATAGCCATCACATGCCTTTAAAGATCATTAATAAAAATGTGATCCCATACTCTGCGCTGGCTGCTATTAATTAGGCATAAAGCCACTTTGTTCGGTATCTGGTATTGCATTATATACATCTAGCTAACTGTGTTACATCACGATTATCATATATTATATCGCCGGTAGTGTGTTTAACTGGAGTATCAATAAAGTCTTGCATTGATTTGTGTTTCACCAATGATGTTTTATATAAATGCAAATACATGCATAAAAGTTTACTCCGAATGCATAATAGCCGATTTAAACTAGCCCCCTCAGTTATTTTGTAACTACGTAATTAAAGATTTTACTGGGTAACAAATTGCTAATTATTTCTTCGAAAAAAAAAAAAGCTTTTAAAAAATAATTTAAAAGTTTAAACGATGTTTTCCGATAATGGTGGGTTGTGTAATTCAGAACGAACCTGCGAAACCTGTCAGTTTCAGTTTCTTCTTAAACATCTGTCTAATGTAAGACATTTTTATTTTTGTAGATATAATAAAGATATTGTCCAGTTATGTAGGTTGGTTTTAGTCCAAAAAGTTTCATGATTATGATTGGTTATTTTAAAGGGAGCCAGCTTTGGGGGGTGGGGGGACCACACGTGTGCTTCAGCTATCCCAGCTGCATGTCTTTGGACCCACCGGTAAGATCGTGTGTTTTCTTTTCCAATTCAGAATAATGCTGGAGATTCAAAGATGGTAAAGGATGTGACATTAGACCAGACCTTTGGCAAGTGGTTAATTCATCTGGTTTGCTTTTGGTAACACTTAACAGGAGGAGCCGAGAATCGATGTCCTCATCAATAATGCTGGGGTCTTCCAGTGCCCCTACACTAGAACGGAGGATGGCTTTGAGATGCAACTTGGAGTCAATCATCTGGGCCACTTTCTACTTACCAACCTCCTGCTAGACCTCCTGAAGAAGTCAGCACCCAGCCGCATCGTCGTGGTGTCTTCCAAGCTGTACAAGTATGGCCACATCAACTTCGACGACCTCAACAGCGAGCGTAGCTACAACAAGGCCGCCTGCTACAGCCAGAGCAAGCTGGCTAATCTGCTGTTCATCCACGAGCTGTCCAGGCGGCTCAAGGACACCGGCGTGGCAGTCAACGCCCTCTCACCAGGCATCGTGAGGACACAACTGGGTCGACACGTCCATATCCCCTTCCTGGCCCGGCCCATCTTCCACCTCATTTCCTGGACATTCTTCAAGACCCCTGTAGAGGGTGCACAGACCCCAATCTACCTGGCCTGCTCGCCTGATGTGGAGGGCGTCCAGGGGAAGTGCTTTATCAACTGTGAGGAGCAGGAGCTGGTCCCAAAGGCGACAGATGACGAAACGGCCAGGAGGCTGTGGGACGCCAGTGCTCTCATGGTGGGGCTCACAAAATAACGATTGTGTTTGTGTGAGTCCAGTGACTGCCTTAAAATCATTACCAGGACTCATGCTAATTCCCAGCCCAGGCAAGGACCACCCCTGATGCCGACTGCATTGCCATTTAGCTCAGGTTAAAACAAAAAAACAGTTTGAGGCTTACAAATAGAATTCTAATAATTTATAAGGATATTAATTAATACTAAAAGCAGTGTGATGGTTGAAGTATTAAGGCTCAAATGAGTTCCAAAAGACCTAATATTATTAGTGAAATAGGTATGTGTGATGATGGTTTATGCTACAGTGTTACAGGACATAACTCACACAATATACATGACATTAAGGCCAAATGCTTCAGTCACAGTGATCTTGCTCTGAACATCATAGTTAAGTATTATTGTATTAATGAAATTGTAATATACTTAAGTTATAACGTTATTGTGTGTGTAAATATATTAAATATATTTTCCATTGTATGTATAAGTTGTACATTTGTTATGCATTGCCTTATTTATTGGTAAAGAATTTTGCATTTTAAATTACAGATGCTCCTCTACAGTACTTACGAATGAGATACATTCCGAATGGCCGTTTGTAACTTGAAATGTTCGTAAGTTGTTATTCAACATCATTTTAAGCATATACACAGGTACAGATAACTAGGATGCTGGGAGTACACACGCTACACTGCTGCACGGCGGTAGTAGTGGGCAGAAGTCGTACTAGGCAGAATTGGCGTGCAGAAAAAAAAACAATGTTGCGGACAGGAAACAGGAGCCCAATGAACACTATTTGGACTTACAGTCCTCTTCGTTCATATGTCTGAAAGTTCGTAAGTTGAAATTTCGCAAGTAGAGGAGCGTCTGTATAAATATATATTTAAATTTTAACCCTTTGTCATGGTATTTCTTTGACAAAAACATGGCATGTGGAAGGGGGACGTTAACAGTTTGTTTCACTGCCTCTGCGGTGTGTCAAAGATGTAGGTGTGATGAGGTGTAATGTAAGTATAAAGATAATGGGATTGGTTACAGTGTAATTTACACTGGGCAGGAAACTCAATTGTCCTTTTGTTATAGTTTCTGTTGATGTATTTTATTAACACATACACAGATAATTGAGAAAACAACTGTACTGAAAGCAGCATTTAGGAGTCAGAGCTCATTAAATAATAAGTCTTAGAATCCCAGTGCTCTCTATTGTAGAGAAACCATCATTGAAAATGGGGGAAATTTTTAAACAACCACTTAACCCTAAATTCTCAAGAAGCCGCCCACTGCGACCAGTGGGAAGGCAGGGTTGGACGTCCAAGCTGGCCCACTTATGTCAGCAAGTAAAAAAAATATTTTGTGATTGTTTCTGTCAGATAGCTATGTAGCCAACTAACTACCAAATTATAGCTAGGCAATCAACTTCATGCTGACAATATAGCCTCCATGCAGGTAAGAAGACTTAAAACTTGATGCCTTAAACACTTTGTGCATCATCATATTTTATTGTCCCTGCACAAACGACTGTTCACTATGTAAGAATAAAATCCTGAAATACAATGACCAGAAGGAGGCAGTGTAAGTACAGCTCACAACTGGTTTTTACGATTAAAAGACATACAGACCCCTTAAGGTGTTCCTGAACTTCCTACAAAAAGTTAATTATAGTTACACATGCACAGTTAGTAAATATCCTTTAGTCATGAAACCTAGAC